TGCTTCATCTTCTTCAATTGTTGGCTCCTCTGTCTCATCTTCTGGTGCTTGCACCTCTTCTTCATTTGTAATTTTTCTTGAAGGAGTTTTTGCCGGTGTTAGATCTTCTACACCCTCTCCAGAGCTTCTTGTAGCTTTTTTCTCCTTCAAATCATTAATTTTCTCGTGTTCATGAAACACAACATCTCTACTTCTGACAGTTTTCTTCTTTTCTGGGTCCCATAGTCTATAGCCAAACTCCTCATCACCATATCCAACAAAAATGCATGGAATGGCTTTATCATCCAGCTTTGATCTCTGTTCCTTTGGCACGTGCATAAATGCTTTGCACCCGAACACTCTCAAGTGAGAGTATCCAACATCCTTTCCCATCCAAGCTTTCTCTGGGATTTCAAAATTCAAAGGAACTGAAGGTGACCGGTTGATCAAATAAACTGCTGTGTTGATTGCTTCACCCCAGAATGGCTTAGGTAGAGTTGTCATTCTTAGCATGCATCGAACTTTCTCCACAATGGTACGGTTCATCCGTTCTGCAACACCGTTATGTTGTGGTGTGCCAGGAACTGTCTTCTCATGCCTCATGCCATGCTTGGAACAGTAGTCTCTAAATTCTTTGGAGGTGTACTCCCCTCCATTATTTGTACGGAGACATTTCAACTTCAACCCTGTCTCCCTTTCCACCATAGCATGGTAATACTGGAAATACTTGAAAACTTGGCTTTTATTCTGCAACAAGTATACCCAAGTCTTCCGAGTTGCATCATCAATAAAGGTAACAAAATATTTATTGGCACCAAATGACTCTACCTCCAGGGGACCACAAACGTCAGAGCAGACCAAGTCTACCTTGTTCTCCTTCCGAGTCAAATTCTTCTGAAAAGAAACTCGGTGTTGCTTTCCAAATAGGCAAACATCACAAGGATTCACATATTCACCTTTGGCCATGGGAATAAGGGACTGCTTAGCCAAAAGTTGCAATCCTTTCTCACTCATGTGAGCTAATCTATTATGCCATAAATTTGGAGAAGCCTCATCTTCAACTGTGTTCAGTTGACCTCCACACATTTTCATGTGTGTCTTGTATAATGAGCAACATGCTCTCCCTTTTGCCACCACCATTGATCCTTTGGTGAGTTTCCAGTTGCCATTCCCGAAGTAGTGTGCATATCCTTCTTCATCCAGTGCTTTTGCAGACAACAGATTCATACGCATATCGGGAACAGGTCGCACATTTTTCAGTGTTAATGTGCATCCAACATTTGTCTGGACACAGATATCACCAACTCCCATAATATGAGAAACACTCTTGTTTCCCATTTTTATGGTGCCAAAGTCTCTTGCTTTGTATGTTGAAAAATATTCCCTTTTGGGAACACAATGATAAAAGGCACCAGAATCAATTATCCACTCAGCATCTGAGTTTTCTACATGGCAGCACTCCCCACGATCACATAATAGAGTCACGTCACCGCCACTGGTAGATGCTACAGCGGTTGTATTGCTATCTTCAACCTTTTTCTTGTCTTTTCCTTTCAACAAGTAGCAATTCCTTTTCATGTGGTCTAGTTGGCTACAATGATAGCATTTCACTCCACTTTTGGACTTTGATTTGGATTTGCCTCCTCGTCCTCTGGGTTCTTTGGTTTTACTCCTGCTTCTATTCTCCGTGACAAGAGCTTGAGTATCTGGTTGCGAGAAGACTCCCAATGCCCGCATCCTTTTTTCCTCTTCAAAGATCCTGTTTTTGGCAATTTCCAGTGTGACTTGACCACCAGGAGATGAGTTGATTGTTGTTGATCTAAAACTCTCCCATGATTCCGGCAAGGTGTTGAGAAGAATCAGACCATTCACTTCATCATCAAAGTCTATGCCCAAATTAGCTAACTCCTTGATGATGCCAAGGAAATCATTAACATGGTCTGTTGTGGGAGTGCCATCTTTGTACCTTGAGTACATCAACTTCTTTATATGGCACAATTTATTTTGCCCAGTCTTTGCTCGGAAAAGCTGGTCTAGCTTTGTCCATAGTGTGCGTGCATTAGTTTCATCATTGATATGATTCAGCACACTATCATCAATCCATTGCTGGATAAATCCACACACTCACCTATGGAGTAGCCTCCATTCTTCATCGTTCATGCTGTCTAGCTTTTGTTCTGAAAAGACAGGCTCATGAAATTCCTTCACATAAAGAAGGTCCTCCATTTTCCCTTTCCACAGCTGATAGTTTGAACTATTCAACGTGATCATTTTGCTCTGATTCACCTCCATGGTTTACGTGAATATTAGCAGTGCCTGGCTCTGATACCAGTTGTTGGGAAAAAATTGGCACGCGGAATAAATAATTCCTGTGAATAAAACATGTGAACAATAACAAAGAACGGTGAAACAGGCGGCTTAACCGACCAATATTAACGGTTAGTGAAAAAAAAGGCGGCTTAGCCGACCAAGCAAAATAAAATGGGCGGTTCAACCTGCCTCTTAAGAAATAAAATAAAATGGGCCGTTCAACCAGCCACTTAAGCGGGAAAATAAACAAGGAAAATAACACCAAATTTTACGTGGAAAACCCCCAAAAACTATTGAGGGAAAAAACCACGGGACAAACTCCGAA